GCGCTGGACTAACACGGGTCACAGTGGATTCTGGCAAGCCTTATCGGGAAGGCGCACCCACAGCATGCGGGATGCGGTGGCATGCCCATGTGCTGCCTCACGTCACGCCGACTGGGATTCCTGCCGTCCCCCATTGTTGTTGGTCAAAATCTGGTGAACTGTCTGCCATGGACCAGGGGATGTGGTGGTAAGCCTAGGTGTCGGTTTGCGTAGTCCCAACACCTACGCCTCTTCTGTCTCTGATCTTCATGACAGCGAGCCCGGGTGGGGGAGGGGGGGGAGAGAGTGCGGTAGATGCTGCGCAAGTCCACTACCCCCCTCAATTGATTCATACGCAAGTCACCGTCCAAGCTCCCACCCTGATGTGGGGCACACGCTGGACATCGTCGAGACTGACGTTCGACCTGTTACTTGCAGGAAGTGAGAGGACCAGGCTGACTTCGACGAGGGAATCAGGCGATTAGAAAATTTGTCTAGTACGTTGATCACAATTTCTACATTTCTGCAGGTTATGAACTTTAATGGTCGGATTATAGAAGTTTGAGTCATTAATAATGTCGTGGTGGGGGTGTAATAGAATTTCCGTTTTGTATTTCAACTCACGGTCTACGGTTTACGCAGTCGATCGTATGGCAAGCTTAATTCGGTCATTGGGAAGTGGTGTCGACAAAGAGAAGCAACACCGTAATGAGCATTTTAGCTGTTTTACCGTCAGCAGACGATGATGCTCCGACCTACTGTCATCACTTGAGTCTAGAACGCCATCGGACATTTCTAAATCACGCGTTCCCCCAAGCTCGTCTAGTGACAACACATAAAATAACAATAACAATTCCGGTACCCCTAGTCTTTGTCGGTGACGCGCTTTGAGTAGCAGGCTCGGGTCAACACAATTTCTACTTTGTTTCCCTCGTTTTCTCTGAGTGTATATATGACTGACTTTTGAAATAGAAAAGACAACGATTTTTCTGAAATACCTAAAAGAACAAGAGTTAAATGGCTTGACTTCTTAGTACTCTCGAGGAAAATGCAACCTTCTGCGGTTATGTCAAAACTAAAAAACCAGCAATTCAGCATTTGAGTATTTCATTTGTCTTATTAAATTGTAATACGTAAGAATACTTTACTGGAAGCAGGATTCCATACTAGCATCTCAAATCATTTAAAAGCCGACAAATGAAATCAAACAAACATGTAAGATTTACCGCTCTGAGGTAACTTTTGGGGTGTCTTTTGTTTTCTTCTGTGGCGACTGCCCGACTGTGTGTCCACCGGCGAGCAACAAGGCGTGTTTTCACCTACGTCTAGGTGGATCGCCTCTTCCTGACCGCCCTCATGGCTCCATGGTTCGTCCATACCGCTGGCAGTTGCTGAGACCGAATCGTTTGTTTTTGTGTACTCACACGAAAGTGCGACTTCAGGAGGACCCACGTGCGTGGCTCTTCTTCGAAGAAAATTGATTGAACCGTCCATAACCCGTGTCACGCTCAGACCACAGTGGCAGTAGTAGTAGCAGCAATTACGAATACCTGTACGTCGCTTCCTCGCTGGTTGAGTGCACGCGGACAGGGCCTGCTTATTATCGATCAACCCGTGATATACTGACACGCAGATAGGCAATGTGCTGCTCTACCGAGAGATGTAAGTGCGAAGTTTGCGGTGCGAGTGCAAGGGGTCAGAGCACTGTGCATGTATGCATCTAAACGCAGAGAGCAACCTGCGAGGATGGTAGTGGTGCTGTCGGTCCTTGCTGCTGACGCTTTTTTAGCACGTGAATAATGCGTCTCGTGGAGTCTGCTGCGAAAAAAGCATGATCGTCTATGCGGGACGGTTCTCGTCCCCTGGTCTCCTCTCCCAGTCTATGTGAATGGCCCGAACTAGTTGCCATCTGAACGTGAGGGGGACTCTGTGACTGTCAATAGGAGAACAGATGTTCACTGTGTGAATGGACTTCTGGTAATGAGAGCCCCTAACTCTGGCCTTTGGGATCCCGTATGACCTATTTATAGATTACACTTAGATTGGCCGGGACGTCTAGTAGGAAGGAGAGGGAGAAAAAAGGCAAGAAGGAAGAAAATTGAGAAAGTAACTCGTGACCATCAGACCCAAGTTGGGGGAGGGGGGAGATATCAGTTAGCAGGCGAACGCTTCTGCAATTCAGTCACACTGATGTCTTTCCCTAGTCAAATATCAACGTTTCCTCTCAAAAAGTAGACTACAGCAGTTTAGTGGGGTTAGCACACTTCTTGCAGCCTAGGAGCTCGGAGTATCCCTGGCTGAAAATGGTATTCACGCGAGCCTGACGTGCGAATTTCATAATAATGACTGATGCATTTGTCCCTTTAATGTGGCTAACCGTCTGGATTTGCCCAATGACCAAGTGAGTTCAAGACCAATCCAACTCCTTGTCTCGCCTGGAGTTGAGATATGGCTGGTTGTTTATGCCGAACAACACAGAAACAGCCATTTAATTTTCACAAACTTTGTAGTACTACTCCTTCTCATAGCATTAGATTATCCTGACTCTACGGGAGCTAGATGACTTTAGAGAGCTTAAACAAGTTCAGATATGGCACGCGAATAGATAATCCCCGTGTGATAAGTGACTGTGTACCCCATACCAGGAGGCACCGATTTCGTGTCCTAGACCTAACCCTACACCTGGCGTTGACTCTAATCCTAACTCTAGCCTTAATCATAACCATAAGGACAACTCCCCTGGAATTGGGAGTAAGGCCACCTGTAATCCGGGGAGGGGTCCATGTTTCACCCAATTTCAGTGGACTTCTGGGCCTGTACTTAGAAAGTGAGCGTGCAGTCAGTGACCGGTCCCATGAAGTGCTAGCCGAAATTCTGGAATGCGTCTTCGATTACTAAGGTTGTTTTGTAGTATTGGTCACCATGCGACATAATCCTTTGATATTTCGGACTCGCCAGCATTTCGGAATTTGAATGCACCCCTTTTTCACTTCCTTTAAAAACCGCACTCGATAAGAAAATTACTACTTAAATAGTATGCGCTTTCGCATTCATTTTCGGTGGCCTTGCAAATTCAAATATATTTTATGGAAAACTTGCGCAAAATGTGTTTCATTCCAATAATTTTATAGCAAATCAGGTTGTATTCATATTTACTACTCAAAGAAAGGGAATATTTAGGTTTATAAAAGTTTCCTAGTCCCTGAATAATCCTGAGCCATATCAGCCGTTACAGGAGTGTTTGATGATTTTGTCTACAAGGCTTATACTTTCGGTGTAAGGAAAATCATATATTCCCCTAGGCCTTTAGGGCAGCACCATGTAAAGTTCACTGAATTGTGCAATGGATGCAGACTAAGTCGCATACTTCATGAGCATCATTAATAAACGGGCAGGTGCGATCCTGTATGAATGGACATTGCTCGACCTTAAAAAAATCTCATAAATAGAAAACCTTTTTAAAACCCAACTGTACCCTTTATTCGAGTATAAAGTGTGAAGACAACGTGATTCGCTACAAAATGAGGAGAATAAAGCATGTTTTTGCACATTTTTTCTTTAAAGGATAGGTAGTGATTTGGTGAAGGATCCCAAACACACACGACCAGCCAAAGGTGCCTGTCTTACGCGAAAGTTGGTGATAGGAGCTTTACGAGCGGGACCTATGTTTGCATAGAGGAATGGCAAAATAAGTATAGATAATAGGTAGATTCGTTTTTCGGGCGGAAAGGCTTTAATGCATTGACATATAGCAACCAAAACTAGGCCGGATAATTAAAAAATAAACATCAAGTGTCTACAGCGATCGCTTCTCAACTCTCATTGTAGATAATGCACCAGACCGTCCGCAACAGACGACCCCACCTTGTACGATGAAACACCAAACCGAAATAATTGTGTCGGACTAAAACCCACTTAAATAAGTGCAGTAGGTATTCTTTGTATGCCAGAGATGCTTGGGGGGCTTCACCCGATCCTTACCAAAATATATTTGAATACACAAGGTCACCAAAAACGAATGCGAAAAACAAATACCATTCAAGTAGACATTTCATTTTCGAGTGCGGTTTTAAGGGAAGTGGGAAAGAGATGCATTCAAAAGCCAACATCCTGGCGAGTCCGAAATATCACAAGATCGTGTCGCATGATGGTCAATACTACAAATCAACCTAAATGATCCTTTTTAATCGAAAACGCATTTCAGAATTTTGGCCAAAATTTCATGATATCGGTCACTCACTGTACTTCAGCCTGGAGTGTGGTTTGTGCAGCACTGGCTGATGCACGACTGCGCGTTCAGACCTCTGGTACAAAACTGTCTCACCCTATCCCCTAAGGGACCGCAACTCCGCACACACACGATGATGGCGACGCTGATGTAATGAGGGTTAATGTTGTTTCAGCAAAGTTCATCTGAAACGTCCGGCCAAAATGATAGGACGACATGATTTTATAGCGGAATGGCCGAATGTGACCGAGTAATTAAGCCCACAACTCACGCAAACGCCAAAATTAATTGATGGGGACATTACAAATATCTTAGTGAGGCATTTTCGACTGTTGGTCAAGTAAGCCTAACAGACAGTCATGCGTACGAGAAGGGGGGGGGGGCGGGTCAGCAGCCAAATAAGGATCAAACGGTTTACTGGAGTGATACATAAAGGCAAATACGAGAGTACGCCTGACAGTCCTTGACCTTATTCATAGAGAATTTTTGGCTAAAAAAATACCAGAGTTGAAGATGGAAACTCGGTATTTGCATGTTGAATGTAGTTACTCAAAATCAAATAACAAACAAATGATAATTAGAAATACTAGTCCTCAATAAGCGTGCAGGTAGCGGGCGGAGTTTCCGTTCTCGGCGATCTTTCGGTATCCGGGGAGACTCATCAAAAGTTAGCCAAGATTCCTAGACCCGTCTAAATGCGCTGAGTGGCTGTCAAATAGCGACTTGTTCAGACATTCCGACAACAGTGTTGTTTAAGTATTGCCTACCTCTATGCGCCTCGTGGTGTCTTGAAATGTCAGTTGTTTTTGTTGAAGACACAAAATTCAGTTCGGGGGAGGAGGAGGAGGAGGAGAAGGAGGAGGAGGAGGAGGAGGAGGAGGAGAAGGAGGAGGAGGAGAAGAAGAAGAAGAAGAAGAAGAAGAAGAAGAAGAAGAAGGAGGAGGAGGAGGAGGAGGCGGCGGCGGCGGCGGCGGCGGAGGAGGAGGTGAAACACTCATTCTTAGAAACTCACATCTTTTAAGGGTAGGGCAGTTCATATTTGCGCGAATTAATAGCTGTGAAGGTTTTCACGACTATTATTTGCTTTAAGTATGCGCTAGGCCTTTCGAATGTACATTTGTACCAGAACACTCAAATGCTTGCGGTGCCTTAAAAGTGACATCTACAAGTTATACCGACTATAAACATTCAGTTTAAGAGCTCTTAATACCTCAGATGTCCACCTGTGAGAGCACACATTTCTCATTAAGGTACTATTACGAGGCACGTTTTTATTGTGCCTTCTAAACAAGACAGGTGATTTTACACAGTCACAGAAAAATAATAAAAAATACATATCCCTTAAATAATCTGTTAATCGCGTCTGAAACAATATGAAAAAAGTCTATAACTATTCCATGATACAGGCTACAACAACATAAATTTTCTAGAGCCATATGAACAGGGTACTAGTATCTCAGGAGGCTGTCCCAGTGCCTTCCCAGGCATAAGTTCTCCGGCTGTGTAAGTCTGGTATTTCCGTAGTTTGCAGCGCAACAAATTGCCACTTATTAAGCTCCAGAGCAAATCCGATTGGCTGTTTACAGTCAGACGCATTCTTACCAAAGGCCATTTTTAGCCGTATAGGAAAGGCTTGTTCTTCATACAAAAGGGAAATTACGACAGATTTTGCTCCCATACACAAGACATCTTCGTGTTCATCCTTATGCGAGTTAACACAAGAGCATCCAGAAACATAAGGTTTGGGAATATGCAAAAGTAGTAACTTCGTGGCGTATGGGGTATACCTTTAAGGTGATAATCACCTTAATTCAAATTTCTTGGGTTGTTTGCTCGTTGCAAGCTCAATGGAAGATATATAGTGGTCGCGTTTGGAACACCCGGGATTTCTTTCCGACAGGTCGATTTATGGGATGTTCTGCAGGTTTAAAGAATCAATTTTGTCATAGGTAAGGCACCACATGCCACTCTTTTGAGCATTTTAATTTCCCTTAGTATCTGTTTGATGCCGAAAGTCCAGAAACCGATGAACCGCTGGCAGAAATATCGCGACACCTTCCTGTTTTCATACATATATATGTTAGAGGGAATTTCGGCAGAGATTAGAGAGACTGAAATGGCCTCTTCTGGCTTATTAGCCACCCTCTGCCAGCTCTGCCTAAACCGAGACTTTGTCGCATCTGACTCTGAATCCGTGCGGGAAGGGACGTTCACTAGTCGATATACAGGACATGCTCGTCCCGTTGGGCAATGGGAGACACGAATGTCAATAAAGACAAGGGAGACCAGGATGACCGTTTCTTGCTACTGAACCGTCGTCAGCCAGTCATACCCAGCGCCATGTTTCAATAACCCGCGATAACCCGCTGAACGCCCCTTCCCAGTCACTCGACAATAATCGACTAAATGGTGTTATTTTTTCACTGATGCAAACTTCATCAAGCTACCCTTGAGCAGCTGCTTATGGATCAGGCGCCCTTGTGAAACCTGACCCAGTCAATCCCATCTTCTTAAAACGATGTTGATAAATTCTAGTCAACATTCCGTGAGCCTTACCAACTACCTAATACGGGCCAGGCGGTAAACGCGCTGGACCACCGCAGGGACTAGGTCCGAGTACGGCAGGCGTTATCGGGATGTGATGGCAGGCCCAGTTGCTGGCCCACGCCGCGTCAGTTGGAATCTGTTTTGACACCGAGTCCGCGTGGGGGAGGAGGAGAGTGCGGTAGGTGCAGCGCAAGTGTACATTCATTGTAACCTAAATCACACTTAATTCACCATGCCTGCCCTCACCGAGCTGGTGGAGCACACAGTCAACATCGTTGAAATCCACTGTCGAACTGTCAGATTAAACAGAGCTTACAATGAGCTTAAAACCGTCTCGACGTCTTGCCGGAGCGTATCTAGGCGACATCTAAGTTGACCATCTTCCGCTTCCAGTGAATTTAGTGAAGTTACATTTGGATCAGCTGCACTGAGCAATGCAAAGGCCATATTACTAATGAAACCTTACAGCCTGACTCAATTATGAGTCGGACTGAGTTATCCCGTCAGTTGGCAACCTTCTTCTAGCGAGTCATCATAGTTTGGTTGTTTATAATGAGAAGCTAAGCTCCTCTTACCACATACCAGTGGATTGCCCAGATTAGGCGAACTTGAAATGAGATTGTACGCAGCCTCGGGCTAGAACATGCCACATACGAGCTCAGATATCACGTGCCCCCTTAACAAGCCATGCGTTTTATGGGCTAGGCCAACACAGGGGCTACGTAGGATTCTGGCAGGCGTAATCGGGAATGCGCACCGATTACCAACTGCCAACATTCGGGGGTGTGATGACGGGGCCAGTTGCTGGTTCATTTGGGATCCGTGTCGCCCTCCCACTTTTGTCGTGGTGCAAAATCCTGATAAGTGTTCGTTGTTTACCAGGGGATGTGGCGGTACGCCCAGGTGCGGGTTTTCGTCGTGTCAACCATCAGCGCCCTGTCTTGCCACTGTATTGGTACCCAGTCCGGGTGAGAGAGGAGGAGAGAGTGCGGTAGACCCTGGGCAAGTCTACTCCTACTATTAACTAATTCACGCGCAAGTCACCGCCCCTGCTCTCACCCTGCTGTGGAACACACGGCGACGATGGTTGATCAGTATCTCGAAGTCGACCGGAAAAAGATGTTTGTCATTTGAAGTGACTGCTTCCGGTCATTATATATAATTGTTCATGACTTTATGCCCCTCCTTTAGTCCGCTTAATTCCCTAATCCTCCTCGTCCTCGTAGCTGAAAAACCCAACCGTGGACCTTTTGTCTGGCCGTCTTGTAATGGTAAAACGAAGTTGCATGGACATATTTCTGCAGAGCTGCCAATCCAAAAACTGCACAAGGGAAATAAAGAAAATTTAATTATCACGGTAAAGTCGTGACCTCTCTACTGCCCGGTCAAATTAGGTTTTCCGTGAGGATTTTCCACCGACAAATGACGCCTCAGGCGCTTTCTCTAACCGACCGCTCTGTTTTCACGCCATATGGTGAAGCTCATTTCTTGATTTTTGACGACTGTAACTAATGACGATGGCCGGTTAATCGAAGAGGGTCATAAAAAACTGGGCATTTATCAGTAAATCTACACCATCTCTTCATATAAAACTGAGCAAATCGAACACTCGGGCAAAATGTGCACTTATCCAGACCTTCCTACCTGAGTGATGGAATTGGTTAACCAACAATGGATGTACTATGCTAACTGGCACACTAACCTTCTCTCCCTTTGGAAATCATTTTGATTTTATTTTGACCCATCTGTGGAAAACTCGTTGACTTCGGTAGGATTCGAATCTACGACAACAAGGGGAAGGCCTGAGTACAGTCAACGCTATCGCCACCTGAGCCACGAGACCCAATCGGGAACAGTGAGTGTGATCACATCTGGATCAGGTTACCCGCCCGACCTACTGCAACGTATGGAGCCCACCAAATCTGACACTGTAAGCTGGCTGCTCATGCAGGATTTTCAAGAAACCTGCAACTGTTCACTTAGTGAGGGACAAATCAGTAGGTGAAGCTGTCGCTGTGAATTCAAAAGTAGGCAACTCGTCTTCTTGTGTTTGTGAGAAGTAGAAAGCAAGCTCGACTTACAATGTTTTATTTGGCGAAATCAACTTCAAGAACTATGCAAACTAATGCAAATAGGATAAAACAAAGTTTGACTCATTTAGGTTTGAAAATTTGACATCATTAGGGCATTTTTGCATGCAATCCTGCTTCTTCATTAGACAATTTCCTAGCTGCTCACGAAAGTTTCCCTCGCAAACACAGTTTCTTAAATAGCAGCCTTTCGTGAAGGAGACTTTGCTGCTAGAGCAGGTACTTATTTCCTATGGTATTTCGGATTCACTCCGAAACCACTGTCGGACAAGACGATGAACAGAGCGCCTATGTACGCGGGGGGTTGAGTTTTACACCGTATAGTCTCTAAGCGACTAAACAATTGCCGAAATCAACAACTCCAGCTCCCTCACAGATGATTGTGCTTGGTACGACGCCAACCGTATTGTCTGTAATCGAGTTCGGAATTACTTAAGACTCCTCTCGCAAACACAATTTCTTCAATAGCAGCCTTTCATGAAGGAGACTTTGCTGCTAGAGCAGTACAGAGAGTGACCTATCTCATGAAATGTTGCCTGAAATTTCGAAATGCGTTTTCGATTAGGAAGGATTACTTGGTCGCGATTGTAATACTGCTTATCTTGCGGCATACTCTTATAGCATTTCAGACTCGGCAGGATGTCGGCTTTTAAATGCACTTTTTCAATCTCCTGTAGAAAGCGTACTCGGTAAACAATGACTACTTAAGTAGCATGCATTTTTCCCATTGATTTTCGGTGTTCTTGGAAATTCAAATATATTTTATAGAAACCATAAACAAAAATATGCTTTCGTTTAGTCAATCAATAGAGAATCACGTCTTCTTTATATTTTATACTTAAGGAAGGAGTATAATTAGGTTTTAAAAAAGTTTTCTAATTGCCGAATAATTTGGAGCCTGACCATTCGCTGCATTAGCGCTTAGTGATTTCACTCTACAAGGTGCATGCGTTCCGCGTAAAGAGAATCACATTTTTTTATATGTCATTAAAGAGATATCATACAGAGTCCATAAAAATTTGCAATGGATGCGGACTATGTTGCACGTTTCATGAGGAGCAGTGGTAAACGTCCTGGTACGATGCTGTGTGAATGGACATTTCGCGGTCTTAAAAAGTCTCATAATTAGAAACTTTTTTAAAACCTAATTGTACTCCTTCCTTAAATATAAAATATATAGAAGACGTGATTTTCTATTGATTGACTAAAAGAAAGCATATTTTTATTCATGGTTTCTATAAAATATATTTGAATTTCCAAGACCATCGAAAATCTATGGGAAAAATACATGCCACTTAAGTAGTCATTTTTTGTCGAGTACGCTTTCTACAAGAGATTGAAAGGAAGTGCATTTAAAAGCCAACACCCTGCCAAGTCTGAAATG